GGCAAGGGCAAGGGCAAGGGCAAGGACAAAGGCTGGGGAAAGATGTCAGCCACTTGGCACAAGTGGAGAGTTGCGAGATCCGGGTGATGAAAGCTCAACGGAAGCCTTGGGAGCTCAAATAACCTGCACCCCCCTCAAAAGAACAAAGAAAACATAAAACATACAGGTTGCAGGTGTCTGCCAAAATGGGGGGACCCCCTCCCCCCCAAACAAAATGATTGGTTTTCCTTTGGTTTTTCCCCCAACCCCCTTCCCTCAACAAAACAAATTGAGCCTTCGACCTTTGTCCGTCTTTCTTTGCGCATCGCCTGTTTCTCGTGCCGTTTGCTTCTCGTGTTCTCGAGGCGAAGGGCGGAAAGCGGAATCAGCTGAAGGTGAAGGACAGGTTCGGCCGGCTGTTGGGATTTCGGGTTTAGGGTGGGCACCCCCAATCCAGGGTGAGGTTCTTGGTCGGAAATGTTGTGCCAACAATGCCAAGAGCAAATTGAGGCAATTGGAAGGCTTCAAGCAGCTTGCCTTTGTGCAACCCAAGGAATCCAAGACGAGGCAGCCCTTCGGTGGGACTTTTCGGGTTCCTTGAATAAGTGCTGCTGATTCTGAAATAGTCCCAAGCTGGTGAATAGGCCCCTGTCTGGCCGCAGCCAGTTTTTGAGCGAAGCTTCTCTTCGAATCTGAGAGACCCGGACTCGTCAGGATGTGAAGGAGGTGAAGGAGGTGAAGGAGGTGAAGGAGGTGAAGGAGGTGAAGGAGGTGCAGGAGGTGAAGGAGGTGAAGGAGGTGCAGGAGGTGAAGGAGGTGCAGGAGGTGAAGGAGGTGCAGGAGGTAAAAGAGGTGAAGGAGGTGCAGGAGGTAAAGGAGGTCAAGGAGGTGCTGGAGGAAGTCATGAGGGAAGTGAAGGAGCTTCAGACCAACGAGCTGCCCAAAGAAGGCCCGAGGGAATCTTTGCCGCCAACAAAAGTACGGCCGTTCAACTTTCAGGGTCTGTTTTGTTGAACCTATATGAGTCAACCTCAGAATTATCAAAGACCACTTTATCAATGGCGTTTCATTCAATACTGGTTTTTTGCATTTTCCTTGGAGAACGATAGGGGACTCACAAAAAACGATACCCCTGAACATGGTTTGTGCTGGACCTTCGAGCTGGAGCTGCCGAAGTCTAACTTGTGTACCGTGCCTGTACTGAAAGCTGCGACTTGCGACCTGGAGGTTGCTGCCAGCAAGCAAAAGCCGCTTAGACTGACACGTGACCGCCGCAAGCTGCGACCTTCGAGCTGGAGCTGCCGAAGTGTAACTTGTGCACTGCGCTTGTGGTGAAAGTTGCGACTTGCGACCTTGAGGTTGCTGCCAGCAAGCAAGCCGCCAAGACTGATATATGATTACCGCAAGGCAGAGAAGGCTATTGTGTGTTTGCTTGGCTCTAACAGCTTATGGAAAATTGTGAAAATTTTCGTCACGCGACACACGCCCAGAACGATACCCCGGTCGATACCCCGTCGATACCCCGAGCATTGGCCCGAGTTGCAAATGTGAGGCCTAGTGCATTTGCTTACAAAAGACTACGCGTGTGGTTCCAGTGCTGTGTTTGCGTAGAAAGTTTGTCGGGTGCTTTTCGAGTTCGCGCGGCGCTATAGGGGTTTGCGTAGAAAGTTTGTTGGGCACGCGTGGTCACCGCGAAGAGGGTTCACCGGGCACTTTCCAAATTCGCACGGAGTCGCAGCGAGGGCGCTTTGACACGCGCAATCCTCGCAGAGGGTTCATTGGGCACTTTACGAATTTGCACGGCGCCACAGCGAGAGCGCTTGGGCGCGCAGGATCACTGCAGAGGGTTCACCGGGCACTTTCCAAATTCGCACGGCGTCGCAGCGAGGGCGCTTTGACACGCGCAATCCTCGCAGAGGGTTCATTGGGCACTTTACGAATTTGCACGGCGCCACAGCGAGAGCGCTTGGGCGCGCAGGATCCCTGCAGAGGGTTCATCGGGCAGTTTTAAAATTCGCACGGCGTCACAGCGAGGGCGCTGTGGCACGCGCAATCCTCGCAGAGGGTTCATCGGGCGCTTTACAAATTCGCACGGCGCCACAGTGGGAGCGCTTCGAGGCGCGCGATCCCTGCAGAGGGTTCATCGGGCACAGCACGAACACGCGAAACGTGGAGAACGATAGGGGACTCACTAAAAGTAGAATGAATACACCCCACACAGCAAATATAGACGCTGGCTCATATATATATATACATATATATATATACATATATATATATATATCTAAGTACATATATATATATATATATAGACACCAGCATTTGACCCATTTAGAGGGTAAATGCGGGCATATACATAGATGGATTGTGTGGGATAGATGGTTTCCGCTGGTTTCAGTTTGGTTCCAATCTACCAGTGCCAGTGTGTTCCTTTCCAGCAAAGGTTTGGTGACCAGCGGAAGTGCTTGTACCTCCCTTTCCACTTGCCATGATGTGTGGGAGGGTTAACTAGTACAAGGGTCACATGTGAAGCCTCAGAACACGCCCGGGCTTGGATGGTTTGATGTCCCGTTTTTTGAGACTGAGGACCTTGCTAATCGGCTTGTGATTTGATCAATGCATTTCTCTCCTGAACGAACATCTTCAATGAGTAGTCAGAGGAACTGTCGCGGAGATTTGGATTCGGGAGAGTGGCGGGGGAGGGGGAGGGTGAAAGCGAAGCCCTTTGCCCAACACAACCCAGCTCTTCCCTCTAACCACCAGCAGCTTGTTCCTTCATGGAGTTTTGAACGTGCATCCACGTATTATTTTTGTCTTGCACGGCAAGCAATCTGCGTGCAACCCAGATTCCCTCTCAAGTTTCCCGCTGATGTTCTTGATTTTCTTGGTTTTGCCTTTCTAAATATGCGAATGCCCATGATTTTGGATACGCCTGCTTTCAGCAAGGTAGCGTTAAAAGCGTTTTGATGAGCCACCCCCGAATTAGGTTCGCTCAAAGTATCAGTAGTCCATGATAAATATATTATGGGAGGGAGATGGGGGCCAAATTCCACATGTCCGAAGGACTCACTAATTGCATCCTTGCTGGAACCGCAAGTTTAACTGTGGACCTTCGATGCAGTCAACTCTGATCTTGCCTGGCTGTCGCAGATGCTGCCATGGACAAAAGGCTTTGTTAACTTGACGTTGAATTGGATGGTCATGGACCCTTTCTGGAAATTTCACAGCCCAGGGATTCCGTTCCGAGAGCCATGACAACGGGCCCACAAGCTCTCCGCTGCACTGGCATCCTTTTTGACCCCAGCAAATGGGGTGCTGTTTAGGCGCCTTGTTCCAATTTCCCAAAGTCACTTCCATTCCTGGACTAGATCCTTTTCTGGAAGACCACTAAAAAGTGGCAAGCAACAAGTTGACTTGGTGGCATTCCCCTCAGAAACTGAGCCATAGGTCAAGGGAGCTGGAAGCCTCTTAAGTCGAGTGCACGATTCAGGAGGACAACTCATTCCATGAGTTCATGGACTTTGATCACTTTATTGTTTGTTTGGACCATTTTATTAGCAAGCAAAAAAGTTTGGACTTTTTGTTGGTTCACGCAGGATTAAAACGCCTGGTAGATTCATGGGGACTGGCTCCCCAAAGAATCCCTATGAGACATAGGGGTTGAATGGGTTCCAATGAGATGCTGTGCGCAAAGCTCACTACAAGTCACAGCCAAGTGCCTCAACCTCCCCCGTTCCGGGCCAGGTCCCCCTGACAGTTTCTGCAGACAGTCCATGGCACGGTTTCCTTTTGCTGGGGATGATTCAACCTGAGGAAGTTCGGAAGTTCCGTGTAGGTACTATGTACCCACATTTCCCATTTCTCCGAATGGGCCAAATGTTGATTTATTTATATATATATATATATCGGTATAGTATCGTTAAGAGTTGAACGCAGTACGAACTGCACGTTGGAACCTCCCATCTTTGCCTGGGTGTGCTTACCATTTGGCTGGCATGAATACGGTGCTGAGCGGGCGCTCTTGAGCGGGTGTGCTTACCATTTGCTTGAGATCCGAACGCAAACATCCCCGCCCCCCCCCCCCCCCCACCCGGAAAGACGCAGGGCCGACCTGGGGCAGCAGCCTGTTTGCCTCGGGAAACAAACGCAAACATCCTCCCCCACCCCCCACCCCCCCCCCCCGAAAGCGTATGGTGGAGCCCCAAGCAACTCTTAACGATACTATACCCATGCAAATATTTTTCCCTACATGGGTTGTACAAGTCAGATTTCGTGCCGCTCCTTAGAGTCAAGTGACAGACTCGATCCGGGGCCAGGCACCAAGCGCAAGCTGGAAGCGGCTCCAGCCGAGGCCTGCGCGCGGTTCGGAAGCTTCCTGCAAGCCTCGTTTTGAGTTGCTACCCCGTTCTGGGCTGGTTTTAAATAGGAAATCAAAGGAGAACCGTTGCGCCATTTTGGGGGGGTCCGATTCCTAAAAGACACTAGTAGGAAACCTGGAATTTGGGTCCTTCAGCTGGTTTCTGTTTTAGTTTGTGTTCAACCGCCACGCAAAGCAGCCTTCCACGTTTCTGCAGTGGATCTACGTATTTGAAATCCCGATTTTTGCAAGCCACTGGCTCAGGCGAGTTGACCCTCTCACCTGTTGGTTTTCATTTTCCGAGCTCCCATTTAGTGTTTTTTGTCGCTTCCCTTCTTCCCTTTGGCACAGATCTTCCATTTCCACACGATCCATGTAGGCAATGTGTACCAACATTTGGCCCAAAAGGATACATGTGGGTAGATATCTCCTGGCTTGTGTGGGTTTGAAGCTAAGGGTTGGGTCTTCTGAGGAACCCCGGGCGTCAGCACCTTTGCATTCGGAGTTTTGGCCATCTTGGGAGTTGGTAGCTTTCGATATCGCGCAGGTGAGTCACAATCAACACCCGGAATTGGAGTAAGGGGCAATCCCCATCGAATGGGTGCGGCCGACTCTTTAATTCTGTAGATGGCTCTGGGTCCCCACCACTTTGATTCCGACTTTTTTCTTATGACATATTCTGACTCAGGTGGGGTTTTGCTTGCAGGTCCGCTCAGATGAGCGGGCCGCTGATCCCTCTTCTGTGAGGGCCTTTGTTTTCTGAGAAGGGGTAAGCCAGCAAGCTGTTTCCATGTTGGAATCTCGTTTAGGAGACTTTATGTTCTCACCCTGAGACTAAGCATGTGGAATCTCCATGTTTGGTCTTGCTTTTGAACCACCTTCTCCAATCTTTCATTTGGGTATGGGTAAAAAAAACACTACCAGGATATGGACCGCAGGTTTGAATGTCCATGTTTTCATTTACCAGGGCAACCCATTTTGGGGTTGCTCTATTTCGACCCATGAGCATTTTTAGGGCCCAACGGGTCGCAGGGCCCACTTTTCTGAGTGCGGCTGGTTGAAGCAGCCGGGTGCTCATGACTGGCTGATTTGCGTCATGAATCAAAACGCACGCGGCCAGTTCTGGTTGAGCCACTTGGGATATACGGAATTTTACTCCCCAAGAACAAGGTCAGTCCGAAGGAACGCGGGACTTTTAAGTGGCTATCTCAGGTCGGGTTGGCACTTTGCTGCAAAACGCAGCCTGTCATCAAGCCTGTCATCGTACTCAGCAAAGTTGATGACAGGCTGCGTTTTGCAGCAAAGTGCCAACCCATTGCAGGTTGCCAACAAAGTTACTAACTTGGCGAATCGAACACCCAAGCGAAAAAGCGGCAGCCAGGAACCCTTCCAGGACTCTCAGCGATCTGAGCCTGAGAGAAAAGTGCCCAAGGCTTGGAAGGGAGCAGAGAAGGCATAATATGTTCAATTGCATAGGCGTCCTTTTTAGTCTACAGAGGTGCATGTTTCTTGGATGTTAGGACTTTTGCTTTTTGCCAACTAATGGGTGTTGCATTAAACCACTAAAAGTCAAACTTTTAGCAGGGGAGCAGAAAACAACCGAGTTTAGTTTGGTTAGAAATCGATGGGTTCCACTGGTTTAGATGAGTTTTATGCAAGAGTTACCAGGGAGTTCCATGGATTTGTCCACAAGGTCACCTATGTTCAAGGGCATTAACTGTATGTTTTTTTTTGGGGGGGGACCCCTTGTTCGCGGTTTTGGAAAGGAATCTGGAAGAGAAACAAGACCATTGTGGGGGCTTGCTAACAAAGACCCGCGTATGTGGTTCATGTAGTGGTAACCCCGAATAAATAAACCCCTGACATTGTGTCCCCGTTCAATGTCCCCTTATTACTAGAACCGGTTTATTAATCCGGGGTCAACATGATAGGTTTTGCTGGTACGAAGGTTATATACCACTTGCAGGGGTATAGTTTTAGAGTGCCTTACAAGCTCATAGTCATGGTATACAAGCACTTCCTCCAAAACCCATCCCCTTTGGGGTGTAAGGGTTGCACAAGTTTAGGGGAAGCTCACAACATTTTGCAAGTTCTGTTTTTGTTTCCCTAAAATTTGGGTATGCCTTGGCTTGAGGGTGCCCTTTCGAGGAAACCAAGGAACACGGCTGCAACTCTAGGGGACCGATTTCTATGTCGAGAAACATCCATATCGAGTCAGAAAAAGCGTCAGCGGCAACCAGGAGCGGCGAAACAAAGCATGTTAGGGTCAGGAGTTGACCCCGGGTGGGATCAAAGGGTCTATCCCCACTGTGATATCTTCGGGAATCCCCTGATGGGGGGTTCGTCTTTGGGGTTAGGCGCATTCCGTTGCATCACAGTGGTCATTTCCCAACTAAACTCCACACCCTTGGAGTAGATCAACCCTTCAGGGGAGCCTCGCCGTTCGATGCCAGGTGCACTGAACCAGGGTTCCCCTATATAAGCGAGATTGGGTGGTTGATGAAACTTGCTTGGAGCAGAAAATGCAGGTGACCATCTCCGACTTCTTCGACGAGGTGGCGCCGGATGGGATTTGAGATGCGCGGAGAAAAGCGAGAGACTGACTGCTTGCGCTGCAGTTGTGTGATGGGTCACAAGGGGCCGTATGAGGAAACTCCAAAAATAGTTTCAATGCAAAAAGGGGAACCACCCCGAACTGGTACGGTCAGATTAGTCCGCAGTTTCTACATGTTCTGCGCTTGAATATATTAGATGAAAGGGGCCCGCTTGAAGTCGGCAACAACAAGTGGTGTTCAAAGCCACCCTGCAAGGGGGATACAGGGAGCCAGTATCAAATGCTTGGCTTCATGTTTGTTCTCTTTTGATGCGAACCAAGCACGGCACCCTAGTTTGGGCACTGGTGTAAGGGGCCAACGCATGCCGCATGACCAATTCGCGGCACAAGGCACGATTTTCCCAATTTCGGTTTAGCCATTCCCTCTTACCCCCCCCAAAAAAACCTGATTTGTGCTCTATACTCTCGGCCTGGTGTATATGCTCTTGTCACTTGGAGTCCATCTGCCCGCATCGCTGCTCAGAAAAAGCCGCCTTCCGGGGTGCGACGTAGTTGCACGCCCACATGAAGGCCTCCGAAGCCAAAAAAGTCTCGATCGACCGCGACTTTTTGAGTTGGCACCCCCCCTGTCGGTGCATTTTTTTCTACAGGGAAAGCCCGGGCCATTCTGGGTCCTCTACTCCAGCAAAAGACACACGCAGATACGCGTGTGTTTGCTTGGTCAGAGTGACCTTGAGTTTTTCATGGCATACCCCTCCCTTTCGGTGGTGGTGGTGGTGTTGGTGGGGTGGGGGTGGGGGATACGCCGTTCCTTGTCAACGAATTGCCGCCCAATTTTCCGCATTGAATGCCCGCTTACGGCCAGTGCTCGTGAATATTTTGCCATAGCGATTGAACTATGTTGAGCGAACAAACCACTTCCAAGTGGCCATTTTAGCAGGTGGTTTTACCTGGTTTGAGTTTGGTTATGGTAACTCCTATATATAAATATGCAGCTTGGTAACCATTCTGTTTAGTAGAGCCACAAGTCAATGTGGTTTGGGTGCACGTGCCGCATCTTCTTGTTGTCCTCACAAATCCGACTGAGGTGGATGGTTGCGATTGTGTGATCCAAGCTTGCCAGAAAGCACTTGTAGAACAAGGAGAGTCGGACCCCTCTACATGCTGGGTGTCAAACTAGGAAACGGTTTGGATGCGGTTTTTGTGGATCCACTTCTGTAGGATATTAAAAGAGTACTAAAAGATGTACTAAAAAGAACATACAGGAGGAAGAGCTGGTGCAATCCACGAGAAGGGCATCCAAACTGTTTTCTAGCGTCAAGATAATTCCCCTTTGGTTCGACGCCTCAGGTGCGAGTCGTTCCCTTTAATAGCCCCCGCACTCCTCCAGATTCGCATCTTGGACTTACCCAAGCGCCAGGGGGGTTGGGTGTGTCTTTTTTGCGGGACCCAAAGAGGTGTTCGGCTTTCCTTTGTGCGGGTGCCAACAAAGAGTCCCCAACAGCCCTGGAGCCGTCTGGAACTGAAGCTCCTTTTGAAGCCCTGATAGAGCTGCCTCACCCCAGAGTCTATTTGGGCAGAGACTTTAAAGCTTCTAACTTGAAACTTGGCGCTTCCAGCCGTCCCCGAGCATGTTTAGCTTTTTTGACTCAGTTTAGGGTTCCGTGTTTAACCCACGAAAAGTCGGTCACTTCCAGGGATCCTTCTTCTAAATCAAACGGAACGGTTGGAATCAACACCCAGCTCAAGACACCAGGTTTGATTTATACTCCTTTCATGTGTTGTGCCACTATTTTCAGCGCCCCTAGCACCCCAAAGCTCCCAGCGACACAAAGATACAACGCCGCAGCCGGGTTCGAGGTGGTCTAACCCGGCTCTGGCCGTGATCAGACCGAGGCGGGAGCCCCAGAGATGGGCGATGGGTGCTTCGTGTCATGGACCGATGCCATGTGTCCCAGTTGCCCAGCCTCGCCCTTTTGTCCTTTGTTTTGAAAGGGTGCCCCTTTAAGGTGCCCTTTTTTGCCCATTGCCACTGGCCATTTGAGGTGTCATTTCTCCTATTGGAAAGAAAACCTCGCGTTTTTTTTTGTGCTCACCCCCGCTAAGGGTGTTCTTTTTGCCAAGTTAGCAAGTTGGGAACAGCTTGTTTCCCAGTCATACGTTTTCCGAGCGGGATTAATGAGTTGCTACGGGTTGAGAATCCCAAGTGGCTAATCGCTTACTTGGCCGAACATCCAAACATTGAGCATCCAGTATCGAGAGCCCGCTGCTAAGGATGCACAAGGCATGTGGTGTCAAAGACCAACTTTTCAGTTTCTCGTGCCCTGCTTTGTGCTCTCCACTTACCGGACACCGATCGACTTTGGATAAATGGGTCTGTCTTTTTTCAGGGGTACTCTTTAAGGGAAATCAACAGGAAAACAGCAATTTTAGGGGTGTCCACGCATAAAGGCACACTCCACTTGTCTGGTTTAAAGGCCGCTACAAAAGGGGGCGTCATCCGGAAACGCTCCGCTCACGCTGAGGTACCACTGAGGAGTGAAGGGCAGGTCCGGCCCGTCAATTGTAGAGTTGCGAGTTGCCATGACATGACATGGACTTTTCGGATCTTTTCGGCACAGACATACGCAAGCCATTCCGCAAGATGGCAGCAAGCGAACATGACCCACCGCCTTCAGAAACCCAGCCTCGTTTCACTGGGGTCTGAGGGGACACTCGGACTCCAAGTCTTTTTTTAAGTGTATGCGCAATGAGCAGACGGGTCGGCGCCTGAGCATTCAGGGAGGAGAGTTCGCACGGTTGGTACACATGCCAGGCGAAAGTGGATTTTGTACATCACGGTTTTTTTGGCACATACCCCCAGTGAGTCCAGTTCCCACTAATGCTGACCCCATATTAAGCAACCCCAGTTTATTCATCGGGGGGTGGGAGCCCCTCCAAGAGTGGTCTGATTGCCCACATTTCACCCCGCAAGAAGCACCCCTCCGATATATAAGCTAGAGTTGATGAATCTGAGGTCAACATTGGGGACTGCCACGGTGTGGATTTTGTGCATCACTTTTTTTTGGCACATTCCCCAGACCCCGTGAGTCTGGTTCCCACTCGAATGGCAAGCGGACACGCTGGTAACCGCTGGTCGCATTGAGGTGAGATGCGCCTGGCGAAGCGTGCTGCTGCTGTGGCTGCTGGGCTTCGGTCAGGACACTCCCGACTCCTTTCAGCTGCCCAGCACTAGAGCTGCGCAACTGCCACCCAGACACAGGAGATGGGGGCGAATGGGGTGCTTGGGCAATTGGGTCTGTGTGTGTGTGTGTGTGATTTGGACCCTCTTTGTGGTTGGTTCAAAAGGGAAGCCAAGAAGAGAAGATGCTGTAGACACTTAGGGATTCCTGGTGGTTATGACATATCCCAGTATAGTGTAATGTTTGGCTTGGCAAGGGACCAACCTACGCTTCATTTGGTGTACCCACCCAACATGTGGGGTAACGCTGCCTTCGAAATCACTCAGAGGACGGTGCTAGTCGGGTGGTTCCCCCGATAAGGAAATCATTTGCAGGCGGTCCCTTGGGTTCTGCCTATTTGCTCGAAGTTAAGATGTGTATCCACCCAACATGTGGTACCCTCTCGCCGCCCCATGGATGACTTCCCAACAGTTGTTTTTACAGCAAACAGCAGCGCAGAAGGATTACCCTCGGAAAACTTAACACACCCAATTGGCTTGCCGAGGGCAAAGTCAGTTGTACTCCACCTCTTGCCACTCGACAAAGTCTTGCCTGTTTGTCCCTCTAATTTGCAGGGTGTCCCTTCCAAGTTGATTACGAAGCCAAGGGCGCAAGCCCTTTTTTAATCCCCCCCCCCCCTCCCCCCGCCTCCCCCCCCCCCACACCCCCACACCCCCTGCCTTTTCGGAGGAGCGAGCCGGCGCGTCCCAAGTCAGCTCGCTCGGCAGCCGCTCCCTCGGGCTTTGTGACCTTGGACAAGGATCACCTGCTGCTGCCGGACGAGGAGATCTTCCGAGGCGTGTGGTCTGAGGCGGGTTTTGGGCAGGGAGGGGTTTTAGGGGGGGGGTTGTAGCACAACTAAGGCGGGGGTAGGGGCAAACTTGGTAGAACCGAAGAAACCATCTCCAGGAGATTCTCCAGGAAGCTGCATCCCTGGTTTTCGTGGGTATTTGCCGAACTTCCTGGAGGGTTTCCTTGCGATGGTTTCTTTGAGCAAACCTTTGTGAGTGTGGAAGATCGAATGGAATCCAAGAACGTAACATACCTTTTGAGCATACCCCGGACCCCAAATGAAAGCAATTCTCATCATAGGAGGGTGGGGATATGCTCAAAAGGTATGGTTCTTGGCGTGGTTGGAGAAGCGCACCCAGAAATTGAGGGCGCCCTTGCATCTGGGCAGTTCTCAACCGTCCCCTTAGGTTTTTAGTTAGTTGAGTGGTCGGGTTTTCCTATTTCGCAGGGGATCTGAGGAACCCCCCCCCGCTCACCCTCCCAGGCCCCTCGGAGCCCTCGCCCCGCTCACCCCCCACCCCCCACCACTAACCCCCCCCAGACCCCATGAAGATAGGGCGCCCTTGGATTCGCTTGGAGTCCAGGCCCTGGTCGCCAAGTCCCTGCAGCGCGCGGGGGCTTCGCAGCTCACCTGGTCCAACCACCGCTTGAGCTTCGCCATGGAGATGAACATCCCCTGGCAACAGGCCGCGCGAGATCGCGGCGAGCGGAGTGCGGAGAGCGGAGAACAAGCGATCGATAGATGGAAGCAGCGGTTGGTGTGTGTGTGTGTGTGTGGTGTGTTGTGTTGTGGTGTGCGGTGTGTGGTGTGTGGTGTGTGGTGTGCGGTGTGTGGTGTGTGGTGTGTGGTGTGTGGTGGGTGGTGGGTGGTGGGTGGTGGGTGCTGGGTGGTGGGTGGTGGGTGCTGGGTGGTGGGTGGTGGGTGGTGGGTGGTGGGTGGTGGGTGGTGGGTGGTGGGTGGTGGGTGGTGGGTGGTGGGTGGTGGGTGGTGGGCGGTGGGTGTGTGTGTGTGTGTGTTTTTCCGCTTTGGCGAGGCTCAAAAGATGTTGGGAAGCCGGAATCCCCAGAATGGCACCAATGGAGTCCCCCCCCAAAAAAAAAGCGATGTGTGACCCAAGCTGTTTGCTTGGCAGTTCCCAGCCGTCCGCTTCCTTAGTTGATTTGTTGGGTTCTTGGTTGGTTTGGTGGTTGGTTTTCCATTTCAGGGGATCTGAGGACAGCCTAGAGAAATTGGAATCCCCGAAATGGCACCTTTGACAATAAGAACAACAACTAAAACCTGTGTAGCCAGCTGTGACAACAATGAGCAACGCCCTTTTGGCCGTTATGGAGTCCATACGCCGAGATGGGCTCCCTTTTTTGGGAGTGGTTCGGAGCGGCCAAAGGGTTCTGGAGGGTTCCTTCCAGGGGTTGCTGAAGACACCTGGGCTTAGGACCCTTTTCAGGTTGCTTTGGTTTTGGGAATCCAAAAGGACAACTTGTTTTTCTTGAGGGGCCGCGTTCTTGTAGACAAAATGGGAAACCACCCCAGACCAGCTCCAAACCACCAATCCAAATCACCGATGAGAGGGAACCTCAGTTTTGGCCCCCGTTTTTG